TCCTTAGAGGTCAAAATGGCCAAACTTCGTCTCTCATACTTTGGACATATTGTCAGGAGGGACCAGTCACTGGAGAAGGATATCATGTTTGGTCAGGTGGAGGGTCAGAGAAAAAGTGGAAAACCCCCAACAAGATGGATTAGCCAAGTGGCAGCATCGATGGACTCAAGTGTGGCAACAGTGGTGAGGTTGGCCCAGGATCTGACAGTGTTTCATTCTGCTGTGCATAAGGTTGCTATGGGTCTGTACCGACTCAATGGCACCTAACAACAACAACATGCGCCAGACTGCAAAGCCATTTGAACTGCAGGGTTGGTAGTTCAAAGTCACCAGCTGCTCCTCGGAAACCTTATGCAGGGTCACTATGTTGAATCGACTCAATGGTTCTTAACAACAACAACCAATTTCTTCAACTTGAAACTGATCAGACATGCAACCAAGATGCACGGATAATTACTGCTGATTGCAATGCAAAAGTTGAAAACAAAGAGGAAGAATCAGAACTTGGAAAATATAGCTTTGGTGATAGAAATTATGCTGGAGATTATATGAAAGAATTTTGCAAGTTGAATAACTTATTCATGGCAAATACCTTTTTCCAGCAACATAAAAGATGACTAAATACCTGAACCTCATCAGATGGAATGCACAGGAATCAAATTGACTGCATCTGTAGGAAGAGATGTTGATGGAAAAGCTCAGTATCATCAGCCAAAACAAGGTTATGGGCTGGTCAACTGTGGCACAGACCATCAATTGCTCATATGCAAGTTCAGGCTGAAGCTTAAGAAAATGAAAATAAATCCATGAGAGCTAAAATATGACCTTGAGTATATCACACTATGTATTAGACACTATTGACTGAAAACCAGAAGAGTTGTGGGGTGGCATGAAGAAAACCATCCATAAAGAAAGCAAAAGATCATTAAAAACAGAGGGAAAAAGAGAAAAGACCAAAATGGATGTCAGATGAGACTGAAGCTTGCTCTTGAGCATAGAGAAGCTAAAGCAAATGGAAGAAATGAGGAAGTTATAGCTGAACAGAAAAATTTAAAAGGCAGCTCTATAAAACAAAGTCAAATATTATAATGAAATGTGCAAAGACCTGGAGTTAGAAAACCAAAAGGGAAGAATATGCTCAATATCTCTCAGGCTAAAAGAATGGAAGAAAAAAAAAAATCAAGCCTTGGGTTGCAATATTGAAGGATTTTTGGGCAAAATAGAGACTTGGTGTGACACTGTGGGATAGTGCACTAGACCACAAGGTCAATTTAAACTGCAAGGTCAGTGGTTCAACCCACTAGCTGCTCCTTGGAAACCCTATACAGTGTTACTATAAGTTGGAACCAACTGCAAAGTACCTAACAACAAATGGGCAAAATAATGAATGAGGCTGGAAACATCAGAAGAAGATGGAAGGAATATACAATTGTACCCAAAAGAATTGGTCAATGTTCATTCATTTCAAGAGGTACCATATTATCAAGAACCGATGATGTTGAAATGAAAAAACAAGATTCCAGGAATTAACAGAATACAAACTGAAAATTTTCAACAGACTGATACAGCACTGGAGGTACTCATTCATCTATGTCAAAAAAATTGGAAGACAGTTATCTGACCAACACATTGGAAGAGATACATCTTTGTACCCATTCCAAAGAAAGGTGAACTAGTGGAAGGTGAAAATCAGAACAATATCATTAATATCACATGCAAGTAAACTTTTGCTGAATATAGTAAAGACTGATTGCAGCAGTACAATAGGGAGCTAGATTCAGGAGAGGACATGGAATGAGGGATATCATCGCTGATGTAAGGTGGATCTTGGCTGAAAGTAGAGAATGCCAGGAAGATGTTTACTTATACTTTATTGACTGTGTAAAAAAGATTTGACTGTGTAGACCATAAAAACTATGAATAGCATTGTGAAGAATGGGTATTACAGAATACTTAATTGTGCTCACGTGGAACCTGGACATAGACCAAGAGGCCACGTTGTTTGAACAGAACAAGGGGATATTGAATGGTTTAAAAGCAAGAAATATGTATGACAGGGTTGTATTTTTCACCAGACTTATTCAATCTATATGCTGACCAAGTAATCCGAAAAGTAAATTATATGAAGAACATAGCATCAGGATTGAAGGAAGACTCATTAACCACTTTTGATATGCATATGACACAGTCTTGTTTGCTAAAATTGAAGAGGCCTTAAAATACTTACTGATGAAGATCAAAGACTACAGCCTTCAATATGGATTGCACTTGACAAATAAAACAATAAATAACATCATGATAAATGGGGAAAAGACTGAAGTTATCAAAGACTTTAATTTACCTGAATCGACCATTAATGAAGGCTCATGGAAGCTGCTGTCAAGAAATAGCAATGTATTACATTACTCAAGTCTGCTGCAAAAGACCTCTTTAAAGTATATTGTTGTTGTTGTTAAAGTATATAAGAGCAAATATATCAGTCTGAAGATTGAATAGCTTCTGACTCAAGCCATGGTATTTTCACTAGCCTCATATGTGTGTGAAAGTTGGATAACAAATAAGGAAGACTGTAGAAGAACTGATGCATTAGAATTTTGAATATTCAAAGTACCATGGAGTGCCAGAAGAACAAACAAATCTGTCTTGGAAGACATATGGTCAAAATGTTCTTTCATTTTTCCAACTTTGGACGTATTATCAGGAGAGAACTGCCCCTGGAGAAGGACATCATGCTTGGAAAAGTGGAGGGTCAGCAAAAAAAAGGAAGACCCCAAGAAGATGGACGTGGACTCAAAAGTGACAATGTTTGTGAGGACGGTGCGGGACCTGGCAGTGTTGTGTTCTGTTGTGCATAGGGTAGCTTTGAGTCAGAACCGACTCCATGACACCTAAGCACCAACAGCATTCCTCAGCAAAATGCCAAGCATTTTCATATCCAATGGCAGTATTTGCCCAAGGTTTGAAGTACTTCTCTCTTAGAAAAAGCAAATGTAAAATTCTTCTTTAAGAGGTTTGAAGAGATCCAGATTTTCAAGAGAATCTTTAAAATAATCAGTATACTCCCTCACTGAATGATTTGATAGGGTTTACAGCAAAGGTATTGGAGGAGACAACATATACACAACCTTTATTAGCTTAGAAAGAAATACAATAGACAAGGATCTTGTGGGAATTCGAAGCTTATTTTTATGTGCAGTTTTATTGTTGTTTAGTGCCATTGAGTCAGTTCCGACTTACAACAAACCTGCGTAGTGTTGCCAAATACTGGCTGGTGGGTTTGAACCACCCACCTTGCTTTTAGCTGTCCAGTGTTATTCCTACATCACCACACCAGAACTTTTTATATGCAATTGTTGAAAATTGTTAAGTGTCGTTGAGTCAGTTACGACTCATAACATCTTTTTGTACAGGGTTTCTGAGGAGAGGAGTAGCTGGTGGGTTTGAACTGCTGACCTTGTGGTTCAAAGTCCAGTGCTGGTCCTACAGTACCACACCAGAAGTCCTTTCTTATTTGCAATAACTCTGAATTATGGAATCCAGGTCCAACACAGTTCTGTCTCAGGATTGCAGTCTTTCAAAAGAGGGGGTTGGAAATTTTTCTTATGTTTTAATTCCATTTCCCATGAACTTTTTGAAGCCCCCTCACATCTCACTTTATATTTTAAACCTGTACATATATATTTAAATTTATATATATTGTTGTTGTTTTTAGGTGCCATTGAGTCGGTACCAACCCATAGCGACCTTATGCACAGCAGAACAAAACACTGCCCAATCCTGGGCCAACCTCACTACTGTTGTCACGCTTGAGTCCATCGATGCTGCTACTTGGCCAATCCACCTCTCTGGGGGTCTTCCTCTTTTTCTCTGACCCTCCACCTTACCAAACATGATATCCTTCTATGTTGTTGTTGTTAAGTGCCGTCGAGTCGGTTCCGACCCATAGCGACCCTGTACAGGGTTTCCTTCTATAGATACACATAAATATACATATAGAGAGAGAGTCCTGGTGTGGCACTGTGTGTTAATGCACTAGACTACAAAGTTGTCTGAACTGCAATGTCAGTGGTTCAAGCTCACCAACCGCTCCTTGGAAACCCTATACAGGGTCGCTATGGGTAGGAACCGACTCCATGGCACTACATAACAACAACTATATATATATATAGTTGTTGTTGTTTAGTGCCATGGAATCGATTCCGACCCATAGCCACCCTATACAGGGTTTCCGAGGCTGTAAATCTTTATGGGAGCAGAAAGCCTCGTCTTTCTCCCGGGGAACCACTGGCAGTTTCGAACAGATGACCCTGAGGTTAGCAGCCCAATTTGTAACCACTATGCTACCAGAGCTCCTTACACACACACACACACACACACACACATATACAAATGTAAATTTAGAGTTAGATTTAAAATTTGTATATAGCAACTACATATCTCACTTTATAAATATTGCCCTTTCTAGAAAGATATTGTTGCTGTTGTTATTTGTGTTTGTTCCCACCCATAGCAACCCTGTATAGGGTTTCTGAGGAGCGACTGGTGAGTTTGAACTAGGACCTTGTGGTTCAAACCAACTTCCTGGTCTAGTGCTTATGTACAGTTTCTGTCACACTGTTGTCTCTTATTGTAAGCTAAAGAATACTTAAATGCATTAAGCAACCTAGTAGAATGCCTTTCAACCAGTTATGTAAATTCTCTGAATCTTTTACCATGATAAAATTTGCCTCAGGTGGTTGTGAGATTAAATGTGAGAATTGTCTGATCTGGCATGGTAACAACATGGTAAAAAGCACTTGGCAAAGCACTAACAACATCACAGGCATTGTTGTTATAACTATTATCACTGTTAATGAAAAGTTCACTTTTATATGTGAAGAGTTCACTCCTGATCTCCCAGGTGTTTCTGTCAGGTTTTAAGAAGGCAGTTCAGAAAATTTGTGGAAAAGGTCCATCAGGTTTTAATTCTGTTTTTCCACAAATTTTTTGAAGTCCTCTGAATTTGGGGCAAGTATGTTGTTTTGGTAGTGTAGTGGTTATGAATCGGGCTGCGAACCTTAAGGTCAGCAGTTCGAAACTACCAGCTGCTCCGCGGGAGAAAGATGAGGCTTTCTACTCCCGTAAAGATTTACACCCTCGGAAACCCTGTACAGGGTTGCTATGGATCGGAACCGACTCGACGGCACTTAACAACAACAACAACATGTTGTTTTGGAGGTCTGGTACACTAAACTTTGTAAAACAAGACAATCTTGTCACTGTCATGCATAATATCCAATTTTGTTATGTTTTAGCCAAGTACCGGTCAGTGGAATTACAGATACGGAGGAAGAACGAATTAAAGAAGCTGTTGCGTATATAGCCCAGAGGAATCTCCTTGCTAGTGAAGAAGGAATCATGACATCCAAACATTCGACCACGTCCAAACAGTCCATGGCATCCAAACAGTCTACATCCGCTCTCCAACAGGAGGAGACTTATGAGAAGAAATCAAGGAAAGTTGCAATTCGAGAAAAGGCAGAACGCCTGTCCCTGAGAAAAACAGTAAGAAACAAGTTAATATAACAAGATGGAAATGCGTGGGACAGATTGTGTGTATGCATGTGTAGAGATGAATGTATTTGTTTTAAGTTAAGCAATATGTGGGTTTTTTAGGGAAGCAAAACAGAAGCAAACAAGGAGAAAATGTATAGGTCAAAGATGAATTGTTTTTTTGTTTTGTTTGTTGTTTTTTTATCTCCACGGAGTATGATTTCAACAGCCTTGAGAAATTCACCTTAGGAAAGTAAAATATATTGCTCAAACTTAGAATCTTAAGAGTTAAATAATTATATCAGTTTTTAAAAGGGTGACTTCTTCCCACTGAATGCATTTTTTCTAAAATCAGGTTTTAAATGGAAAAATGGTTTGTACTTGTTATTGAAGCAGAAGACCTGAAACTACAAGTGGTTAAAGCCCTTTACAACTAACCCCAAATTGCCAATTTGGACCTACCCAGTGACTCTACAGAAGAAAAATCTGACAATCTGCTCTCATAAAGATCACAGTCAAGAAAATCTGATGGGGGCAATTCTGTTCCATCACATGGGGTTGTTATAAGTTGGAATTGATTCCATGACACCCAACAACAACATTTAAGTAGCATGGATTACTTTAATTTAGCAGTGTTGTGATCATTTTTTTTTTCCCCCAGTTAGAAGAAACCGAGGCATATCACAGAAAGTTGAATGAAGATAGTCTTCTTCATGCTCCAGAGTTCATCATTAAACCTCGTTCGCACACTGTGTGGGAGAAACAGAGTGTCAAATTGCACTGCTCTGTAGCAGGCTGGCCAGAACCTCGTGTCACATGGTATGTTAATCTCTATGAAACCTGCTCAGTGAATTGATTACATGAAGTCACATTTCCCTCTAGTGAAAACATACAGGGTTATCAATGTGCAGGAATCAAGGAGGGCGTATACAATTTTGAACAGATTTTTCAAAAGGATACCTGGGATGGATATTATATGCATGGGAAAAAAGAACAGTCTTGCAAACATTTTGATATGATCTAACACTATAATCCCATCATACTAATGGACCTTTATCTTATATAAAATTATAAAATTTAGTCAACGTATTTATAAGAAAATTATGTCTGGAATTGTGATGGGTCATAAAAATTAAATTAAAATATGCTTCCATTAATGAAATTTATAATTAGGTATTTTTTTGTTGAGAAGCAATGCTGCCTCTTAAAAAGTAACTAAAACCCAGAGGGCTCTCAACTCTCCTCCTTCCCCTGAGCCAAGGCCTCTGAGTGCTTTCAGTAGCCAAACAAAAGACACATAGCAAATGGGAGATACTACTCATATGAGACCTTAAGAAATTTTCTTTCCATAGTGACTAAAACCTGTTTTCTCCTTTTATCCTACTGCAATTGCCAATGATCGTGTGATTTCTAAACCTAGAATCTTCCTGTCACGTATCAGGAGTATCTACCACAGAAAGCACAAGTACAAGAATGATTAAACCAGTTCCAAAAGCACTTTGTCATTTTATTCTCTGACATAGGAATTTTGCATGCTGTTTTCGTATCCTTATGGGCAATGGCAAATGCACCCCATATTGAAGAATAAACACCATCTAAAGTTGCATTGTCATAGTCATCCACAGAGCATGTTCCTCCTCTTCCTCTTATTTCTGATGTTGGTCAGACATCTGGCTAGCACAAATAGAGGAAGATGACAAGAGAAACTCATTTAGCTATATGAGATCATTTTTAAAGAGCAGGTGCTGAGTTTAAAACATTCACCCATGATACCATCATCTTTTGATAACTCTGGATAGTGCAAACCATTAATACTTAGCTGAAACTGTAAGGTTGGAGGTTTGAGTCCAACCAGAGGTACCTGGCAACCTAATTCCAAAAATCAGTCATTGGAAACCCTATGGAGCACAGTTCTTCTCTGACACACATGAGGTTACCATGAGGTGGAATTGACAAGACAGCAACTGATTGTGATCACTTCTAATTGGTTGACTCCTGGTGTGGTGCTGCAGGATCAGCAATGGACTGCGAACCACAAGATTGGCAGTTCAAACCCACCAGCTGCTCCTCAGAAACTCTATACAGGGTTGCTAGGAATCAGACCAACTCAAAGGCACTTAACAAAAATAGCAACAATCTTACTGGCAATCTTTCTATGTTTAAAAAGTCTTTCTAGAATTCTTTGGTTTGAAAACCAGAGCCAGCCATGGATTATCGAGGAAAATAATTTATTGTTTTATAATATTCATAAATTATAATGTTATGAGAAATGTAGGAACATATTTCAATGAAAATTATGTTTTAAAAAGTCAATTTACAAGCCTTAAGCTATAAAAGAATACTTTAGTAAGATAAGAATCAATCTACCTTTGATAATTTTGCCCTACCCTTGTCTGGGATTATATCTACTCCTCATTTATTTACATGGTTGGATTCCAAAGACCTGGTCCATTGTGCAAAAATGGACATTATACAAAAATGGAGGCTGACAACATCAGACCACAAAACGAAGGGTGACCACATCATTACACCAGTTCATAACTGCCAAGTTGCATCATTATATAACTGCCAAACCATGGAGCATCATGGTCCAGTTCAGGTGACACGTAACCTGACCCACCATAGCCAGTATTACTCTTACCTCACATCATGGCACTCATTATTGCCATATTTTTAATGCCCAAAACAGTTGGATAGATTTTTCACTATTGTCGTAAACACAAAATATTGGACAATGAGATAGTTGGTCAGTGAGGAGTAGGTGTCTAGAGGATTGACCTCTGTTAAAGGGACATTTCCTCTTGAAAAATGGATTACTTGACAACTAAAAAAAAAAAAAAATTCCAAACTTTCTTACAGAACTCCCTGGAGAATAGTAAAAATTTAACTCCAACAAATATTTGGTCAGTAAAAATTTCCTCTTCTCTCATGCATTAAAATTAGTTAATAATAAATGAATAATTGATTTCTTAGTTGAGTACATAGTGTCCTGGCTTTCTTTTCCTCCTTTCTAAAATTGGAGTTTAAGATGACTTTCAAAAGGATACAAATAATCTTTGGAAAAAAATATTAATTTCTTAAGCATTTATTCTGTTAAATATATAGCAACTAGAATAAAATCCTGGCCGCATACTGTGTATAGGAATATCAGCTCAGAGTGAAATTATTTCAGAAAGGCAAAGCTCAACTTCAAAGACGAAACTTCTTATATTGTGTTTTGTTGGCCTGGAAAAGTCAACAAATATAAACAAACAAAAAAGACAAACTAACACACACATGAGGGATGGGCGAGATAATCAAATTGTCCATTGGGATCCCAGTTAAATGGGGTGGGGGTGGGGGAAGGCCATTTTCAGCTGAGAAATACAATTGCCCCTAAATCTCTCGTTGTGTGACTTTTACATATATTTTATTTGTAGAAGAATATAATTGTGTTTTTTACTTGCAAATCTCATTTCAAACAAAAGTAGGACAGAAAGACAGGGAGTCCTCATTAACTGTACCCGTCTATCTCTAGTTCTGCCTCACGGTAAAGTGCAGTCTTAGCCACTGCTGTTTTATCATCCCTGCAGGGTAAGTATTAAATCAAGAACCAGCGGACACCTGAGAACATAGTTTGCTGTTCTGAGAGAAGACTCCACCAATGCATCGCTTGTACTCAACCGTCTCGTTGAGGGTTTCTTTTGTTTTTGCTGACCCTCTGCTTTACCAATCATGATGTCTTTTCACCACTTTTCCCTTCTAAGGAGCATTCTAGTTGTATTTCTTTGAAGACTAATTTATTTGTTCTTGCTGAATTGTTTTGTTATTGAGTGCCGTCAGTCTATTTGACTCATAGCAACCCTGTATAGAGTTTCATGAAGCAGCTGGTAAATTAAAGGAACCCATTTGTAATGATGCTTCCTGCAGCCATGTCACCTTCATCTCCAGCAGTGAAGTCCTTAATCAAATCTTTCAAAGACACTTGTGCCTGAGCAATGGGTCTCCCCTCAGATTCTTTCCAAAGAGGAGTTGATTCCAAGTTTCCACTAAGCCTCTTAGGTCATCGCAGTCCCAGAGGTCTAACAACTGATATGAACACACACAGCAGCTGCTACTCAGCCAATCCCAGTTTCCTGACCATTGAAACAAATGCGAATAGACTGACAGCCCTAAGTAGCTCCAGCACACATCACTCATCAGTGCCAGGTGTAGAGACAGCTGAGGGGCACAGTTGTCCCTAGGCCTTTTGGAGAACAGAAGGAAGCCTGTTTGAGGGTTGGGATCATTAGTTGCAGAGAATGCTACCGTAACTCCACAGTGCAGCTAGCCATCCTGAAGGCCTTTGTCAGCATTTAAAAAGAAAAAAACAAATTTTTAAAAAAAGGCTGCTTTCAAGTTGATTCCAACTCATGGCATAAAGCTGTGAACCATAGGATTTGAATGGCTAATTTTTTGGAAGTAGATTGCCAGGCATTTCTTCCGAGGTGCCTCTGGGTAGATTCAAACTTCCAACCTTTTGGTTAGCAGCCAAGCATGTTAACCATTTGTATCACCTAGAGACTCCTTGGTTAACATAGAATGGAAAATTTGTATGTAGTAAAGAAACAAGATTATTTTTTTAACTTAATAGGCTTGTTGTTGTTAAGTGCCTTCTAGTCAATTCCGACTCATTGTGACCCTGTATAGGGTTGCCAAGGCTTTAAATCTTTGCATGAGCAGAAATTCTTTGTCTTATTCCTAGGAGCTACTAGTGGGCTTGAACCACTGACCTTGTGGTTAGCCATCCCATTGGTGCTTATCCTAAGAGCTACAGCGCTCCCATTGAGTAGGCTATATCTATATAATAACTTATATAATAGGTTATACTTTGGTTTTTGTTTTGTTTCAATTTTTATTGTGCATCGAGTGATGGTTTACATGGGAGAACATCAGCTTTACATTCATCTTATTGTATTTCATTTCATTACAATGATTATAATCTCCTCCATGCATCATCATTCAACAGCATTTGCTTCCATTCCCTCTGTTTTCTTTTATGGTTTTTTTTTATGTATACTGAAACACTCAGGAATATATAACCATTCAAAAAAACAAAGGGTACACCCTGCAAGCCTGCCCCGCCCCGCCCGCTCCCCCCCCTCGCTGTCAACACTTAGCCCTCTTCCTCCCTGAGTCCATAGTCCCCAGCCACTCCATCTCTCCATGTCATAGTCTCTGTCTCCATCTCTGATGTCACTGCTTCTCTTGATAGGGTTCTGCACTCCACTTTTCTCCCTGATGGTCCCAGGGTCCTCTGCTCCTGGACTGCAAGATCAACCACTCCCCTCCTTTAGTTACAAAATGTCTACCTTTACATTTGCAACATTCACAATCAGTCCTAATAGTAATTATTCACTATTAAACACAAGAGTCTTATCTGGGGATCTTATCCCCAACTAAAACATCCCCAGATAAGACTCTTGTGTTCAATAGTGAATAATTACTATTTCCTTTCACCAGCCCTGTCCAGACAGGTTGGAAACCACTCAATGAGGATTCTACCTTCCCCCGCACACTCTGAAACTTGGCTCCCTATTGAAAGCTTGTAAGCCAGTCACTTCATGCCTTTGTAGTTCCCCCATTTTGGGTAACCAATATCTAAGTTGCCAATCCCTGTCAACCCTGTGTACCAAGGGGTTGGGAATGACCCTTGCTGTAAAGATTCATTCCCTATTTTGAGCTACTACATCCATAAGTATAGGTCAAGTTCATCACATTGTAGCAGATTACTCTTTTTTCCTCTTCTTTCTTCCGCTAATCTAGTTCTGATCATCCAGCCATTGAAACTAGGTCAAATGGGTACTATCTGCAAGTATGGGTGTTCTTGTGCATCTCCCCTCACTTCATATCAGCTGGATGCTTCTCTCTCTGCTCTAGTCCTCTGTGGCCATGTCCCTATCCCTGGGCCCAGGAGTTCCCAGGTCTTGTCATACTGCTGGCCAGCCAGGTCTCAATCCAGGTTGACTGGAGTCTATTAAACATGGTCAGACTTAGCTCACATCATTGCTACTTTGATTTTTAAATGGAGAAAAATACTTGATGTCTGTATTTGTGTTATGTGCATAATAAAACTCTGAAAGGATGCATAAGAATCTAAGAAGAACAGTTAGTTATGAGAAGGGTTGGATAGAAGGGAGTGAATTGCAAAGTGATATTTTTTAAATTGTATGAAACGGGACAAGAGTAAGCCTCTTTTTAAAAGAAGCAGAGAATTACACTAATTTTTTTTACACTTTCTGAAAGAGCCAGATTTAATTGTATTTCCCTTTTGAAACCTAGATAAAAAAAAAATTTTTTGTAGGTTTTTATTGTGCACTGAGTGATAGTTTACATGGGAGAACATCAGCTTTATACCATCATTTCATTGCAGTGATTACTACCTCATCCATGCATCATCATTCAATAGTATTTGCTTCCATTACCTGTTTTGATTTGTTGGGGGGGGGGGGTGTACACAGAAACACGCAGGCATATATAATAATTTAAACCACAAAAGTGCATATTCTTCAAGCCAGCCTCCTGCCCACCAACACCCAATCCCTCTCTTTCCATGAATCTAGAGTCTTCAACTGCTCTCTCTCTCTCCATGTCCTCATCTCTGCCTCCATCTCTGGTGTTGCTGTTTTTCTGGATAGGGTCCCACTTTCTGCTTGTGCTCTTCTCTCTTGATGGTCCTAGGGTCCTCTGTGAAATCTAGATAAATTTTGACATGCATTATTTATTGATAGAAAAGAAAGTCAAGTCTTTTTCACTGCTAAAGAGCTTTCACTGTTAACTGTGCATTATCCAAATCATCCCAATGCCCATTGACATTTGTCTGGGTAATAAAGGATATGTTTTATACATACATGTACCACTGGATATCCTTCATAGACCACATGAGAATGATAAGGAAAATAGTGTACAGCTATGTATTCAAAAGGATTTAAGAAACCTTTTGACAAATGATTCCAGACTGTAGGTTACTCTCCAAAATTAGCAAATAACTGGTGGTTTGGAACTTCACTTTCCAGAAATAACAAGCTGTGAAGTATATAGAGAGACCTCGCCCAAAATACTGCTTTTCTTCACTAACTTAATACTGAAGACAGCTCATTGAAAGTGAACACCAAAACTGAAGATCGCATTAGATAAAATCCCTTGAAGAATATAACTGAATTGTTTTCTGACTTAACCCTTGTCCACTGCTGTAAAATAGGAGCTCCACAGCAAAGACTAGCAGCACTTGAATGAAGCTATTGTCTACTGTGTGTATGTGCATTTTAAAAACTGATTCAATTTACAAGCTGGTCACATTAGAACAGCCATTTAGTTGGGGAAAAGGAATTAAGGAGCTAACTTGTGGAGTACTGGAAAACAAGAAGGGTAAAATGACGCCAGGAGCTACAAAATCCTGTTTTAGCTCCGGCTTTATATCTCTCAGAACATATTCTCGAACTCACGCTTTCTGTCTTTCTCCTCTCCTTGTCCACCATTTCCCTTCCCCACACCACCTTACAATCAGTTCCTAAGTCTGGGAAAATCAAATGCAGCTAAATAGAGAATACGTGGGCAGTAGTACCCTGATGGAAGTGATGATTGCAAAAATCGTCGATGTTTAAGTTGAGATCTCAGGCTTGACCCTTCAGAATCACTGAGAATGTTATGCAATGATTTTGAAGGTTTGTAATAGAAATAAATTATAGTGAAGTTTTATGAATTATTTTAATGGGGTACTGGTGAGGCACTGTAGGATCAACACTGGACTACAAATCACAGGGTCAGCAGTTCAAACTCAGTAGCCACTCTCCAGACACCCTATACAAGGTCACTATGAGTGGGAACCAACTTGGCGACAAACAACAGCAACTCTGGCATTTGTCAGGAGTGAGACTGCCTGACCTTGCCAAACTGCCACAGCCTTTCCTCATGCAGTGGCTGGTGGGTTTGAACTGTCAACTTTTCAGTTAGCAGTTGAGTGTGTGCCACCAGGGCTCCTTATATAAAAAACACCTCAATATAATGATCTTTCAATATAATGCACTGTCTTTAACAACTTGCAAGAATGTTAGTAGGAAAAATATTTTGCCATTATCCTATAGATGATAAACATTAAGAAAACCTCACACAAAGCCTTCGGCTCTGTCATCTTAACAGTGGTCAATTTTATTTATTTTTTTTAGTTTATTTATTGAAGTATAATATACATGCCAAACATGCTTGTTATATATATATATATATTCAACTTTGATGCATTTCTATAGAATGCAGTTGTGACCCATGTAACTAGAGCCCTAATTGAGAGACAAAACATCATGAGAACCCCAGAAGTCTCCTTTGAGCAACCTCTTCCCAAGAGAAATCACTATCCTGACTTCCAGCTGCATTAATTAATTTATATAAGTGCAATCATTACACCGTGTACTCTCTTGTGTCTGACTTTTTCACTCAACATTATGTACATGAGATATATACATATTGTTGGGAAGGGTCAGCTGTTTTAAACGGAATTTCTATGGTGGAGTAGAAAGTATCTTCATCAAGATGCTTTAGTTTATTTACATATATATAGTACATTATTTGGAGTCCGGGTGTGGCGCTGTGAGTTAATACAACAGACTGCAAAGACTTTTGAACTGCAGGATCGACAGTTCAAGCTCACCAGTTGCTCCTTGAAAACCCTATACAGGATCGCTATGGGTCGGAACCGACTCGATGGCATTTAACAACAAGTTCGTTATTTGGAATCCTGGTGTGGCACTGTAGGATAAACACTGCAGTGCTAACAACAGTTCAAAGCCACCAGCTGCTCCTTGAAAGTCCTATACAGGGTCGCTATGAGTTGGAACCAACTCAATGACACTTAACAAAAGCAGTATATGATTTAACTTGCTGTAGATTTCTATTTGTTGAAGAGATGCTGCTGCTAACTTCAATGACTGGTTTACAGGTTTTCCTGGGAGAACAAGAATTCTCTGTTGTGTGATTAATCATAAGACTATTTACACTTCAGCTTACTTCATTTTGTTTCTTTTGTCTTATAGGTATAAAAACCAGGTTCCCATAAATGTCCACACAAATCCTGGAAAGTATATTATTGAAAGTCGATATGGAATGCACACTCTGGAGATTAATGCGTAAGAGAATATCAGTGTCCATGTGTATTGCCTGGTAGTGACTTAGAGATGGGTCACATGGCTCCGGTTAACCCAGCAGCCTCCTCCTCTTCATTCTAGTACAGTGTGATCTTCGTGTGATGTGAAGAGCATTCACTTAGCAATAATGTCAACAACCAATCCTCACCAGGCCCACAATACCTCACAAATCATTTTATACTAGAACTAAGTCAAAGACGATGGCAAAAAATTCATCTGCATCTTTTTCTTTGTTGTTTTCTATATTGAAGAGTTTTTCTCACACACTAATAAGAGGAGGTTGACAATTACGGTGTTGGCAAAGAATATTGAAAGAACCATGGACTGCCAGAAGAACAAGCAAATACGTCTTGGAAGAAATACATCTAGAATGCTCCTTAGAAGAGAGAATGACAAGACTTCATCTCTCATACTCTGAATATATTGTCAGGAGGGAACAGTCCCTGCAGAAGTGGAAAAGTGGAGAGTCAACAAAAAAGAGGGAAACCACCAATGTGATGGATTGATACAGTGGCAGTAGCAATGGGTTCAACTGTTAGAATTGCGAAGATGATGCAAGATCGGACAGTGTTTCATTCTGTTGTGTATAGTGTTGCTATGAATCAAAACCAATTCAATGGCACCTAACAACAGCAATAAATTTACAAAATAAGTTGTTGTGTAAATAGGCATTTATATTCAGTTTTTTTTAGAGTTTCAAGTCAACATGATCATCATCATACTCTTGCATGATGATATATGCATTAATGGATAAATTAAAGCCATAGAGATTTGGGTGAAGTCCATTGGAAGTAAACTGGAATTGGGGTTATCATTCTTACATTATGTTAACCAGGAATGCTGGGAAACTGACCATGTGCACTATTAATTTGTACATGTACAACAGGATCAAAACATTGAATTATTTTAGGGTAAAGCAATTTCCAAGTTTTCAAAGTGCTGTCTCCTAAAATAATTTTGAAATCTAAGCCTTGTTATGTGGATGAAAAAGTCAAACAAGCTCCCACCATTTCAGTTCAGATACAATCATGAAATGAAGATGTCAACATAGAATTTACATAATTATAATCTCAAGAGAGTTATATCCTTCTCAGATCAGAGGAATTGACACAAGTGACACGGCTTCAAACAAAACCCTGGGATCTTGTGATGTTCAGCAAGTACTGGCCTGACTGAGTCACATCAGTACCTGCTGTTTGGTGGTTCTACAGAGACACTGAGACATGTGGCTGCTTTCATAATTAAATAGTTATGAAAGAGGCAACTAACTGGGATTCTATTGATGTCCATAATATTTCAACAAGGAATAAGTTTATACTAAGGACAATAAGCCCCAAGGAATGATGGAGGACAAAGGAACCAGTGGTGACAAGAGCCTTCTTTGAAATCTTAGACTATTCATCTTTCAGTGAGATCATGTTCTCCCATGTCCTGTTATTGTAGACATTCTGATTCCTGTATTATAACTTAGAAGCACTTCCAAATGATACTTCTTGTATTATCCTATGGACTGAAATGCCAAATGTGGTCTGAACCTTAGTAGAATTTAGGTCTAAATAGCTTAGTTATACTTTGAGTCTAGAGCAAAATACAAGACCAACCTGGATCTGGCTTGTGGTTCAGGAGATTGTGGACAGACTTCCAGGAAAGACTGCTTCATTCCCATCTCTTTGAAAACTTTGAAAGTTTGACATGGATTATGATTTCAAAATTTGTAGTGGATTTTTCTTTACCCTAAAATAACCAATGCTTGGACCTGTCACACATGCACAAATTAATAGTTGCATTGATTCCCCAAAATGAAATTTATTTCTAAGGTTAGAACAGCTAGAAGGGCACACTCTCCAGTGTGTCTCCAGGTAGTTAACTGCTATAAAGGTAAATGGTTGGGCATTTTCGGCTCCGAATACAACTTAGTTTTAGGTGCTATTGAGTCGGTTATGACTGGTGTGGTGCTGTAGGTTAATGTGCCAGACTACAAAGCCGTTTGAACTGCAAGGTTGGCGGTTCAAGTTCACCAGCTGCTCCTTGGAAACCCTGTACAGGGTTGCTATGGGTTGGAGTCGACTCAACAGCACTTTAACAACAACATATGTACAACAGAACAAAACACTGTCGGGTCTTGCACCATCCTCACGATTGTTCCTATGTTGGAGCCCATTGTTGAAGCCACTTTGTCTATCCATTCCATTGAGGGTCTTCCTCTTTTTTGCTGACCCTCTACTTTAACAAGCATCATGTCCTTTTCCAAGAATTAGTCTCTTCTCAAGTCCAAAATACATGAGACAAAGTTTCTCCATCCTTACTTCTAAGGAGCATTCTGGCTCTACTTGTTCCAAGACAGATTTGTTCATTCTTCTGGCAGTCCATGGTATATTTAATATTCGTCACCAACACCATAATTCAAAGGCATCGATTTTTCTTTGTTCTAATTATTCATTGTCCAGCTTTCACATGCATATGAGCTGATTGAAAATACCATGACTTGGGTCAGGATCACCTTAATCTCAAAGTGACATCTTTGCTTTCTAACACTTTAAAGGGGTCTTCTGCAGATTTGCTCAATGCAATATGTCATTCAATTTCTTCACTGCTCCTTTCATGGGCATTGATTGTACATACCAGTAAAATGAAACCTTGGCAATGCCAATCTTTTGTTTATTGTGATATTACCTATTGGTCCAGTTGTGAGGAGTTTTGTTTTCTTTATGTTGAGGTGTAATCTGTATTGAAGGCTATAGTCTGATCTTCATCAGTAAGTGCTTCAAGTCCTCTTCATACTAAATACCATAGTTAATTCTGTAATTTATATGCTTAGTAGTTTGTTGACTTTTTATTATTATTATTTACATTGTAACTGAACCCTGGTGAAGGTCACAGTGCTCTGTGAGTATCTCCTCCCAGTCTGTACTGCCAGAATGAAAATGCAACAGATCATGTGGACTATATAAAATCCTATAATTAGCTTTAGCAGACACAGCAGCTTTGTCAAGAGTCCCAAAGAACTATTGGTTTGCATGTACCAGTAGTGGTTTGCATGTACCATATTAGCAAAGCATCCTTTGATGTTACTGCTGTTAATTAAGTGGAGTCTCACTATGATGACATTCATGTTTATAATGTTTTTTCAGATGTGATTTTGAGGACACAGCTCAGTACCGGGCCTCTGCAATGAACGTTAAAGGAGAACTTTCAGCCTATGCTTCCGTCGTGGTAAAGAGTAGGTTTGCTGGATTTGTTTTATTCACAGTACATTTTCAAAAAATGTCTTCCCAATGCCAAAAAAAAAAACTAAGAAATCATGAAACTGTTCATATGCATCTCTGGGTTTTTTTTTTTTTTAGGATATAAAGGAGAGTTTGATGAGACTTGCTTCCATGCTGGGTCTTCCACCCTGCCCCTCAGCTGTAAGTTTAAAAATATGTTTACTAAATTTTCTCTATTTAAAATACTGCAGAATAAGTTATTATATAGTGCTTAATACAGAAACTTAAATCTTGCATAAAACTCTTAAGAAGAAAAGATCCACGTAAATCTTCATGACCTTAGATTAGGCAATTGTTTCTAGTTTTTTAAATTGTGTTTTTGGTAAAAGTTTACACAGCAAATTAGGTTCTCATTTACCAATTTGTATACATATTTTTCACTGACATTGGTCACATTTTCCTCAATGTGTCAGCATTCTCCTTATTTCTATTTTGGTTGTTAGCAATAGTTTCTTAGATATGATACAAAATCATAAGCAACAAAAGCACAGACAAATTGAACGTCAAATAAGACAATCCCACAATGCCCCGGAGACAACAAACGCTTTTAGTTCACACAAAGAAACAAAAGCAAATGGTTCAAGCAAATGTTCAAGATGCAGAGACAGAAAATATTCCTGAGGAAAAAAGGTAATGAAAATAACTGAAAAAGAATTTAAAAGAATGACATTTTGGTACCTTCAATGTATAGACAGAAAGATTGAATAAAGCAAGGAGAACACAGAAAAAACTTTAGAAGAATTCAGAGAAACACTACAAGAACAGACAAAATAAATGCAAATTTTGAAACAATACAAGCCTTACAATTAGAAATCCAGATTAATACTAAGATTTTAGAAATGGACAATACATTGAAAGGTCAACGGAGAAGATTCAAAACAATGGAAGCCTGAATTAGTAAACTTGAAGATAAATCTCTCAATATTAGTATGCTTGAAGAACAATCTGAAAAAAGAATGAAAAAAATCTGAAGAAAGCCAAAGAGTTATGTGGAACACCATGAAGAGGAACAACTTATGGGTGACTGGAATTTCAGAACAGGAAGAGACAATAGAAAGTACAGAGTAAACTATTGAAGAGTTGTTGGAAGAAAACTTCCCTAACATCATGAAAGATGAGAAGATAAGCATACAAGAAGCTGAATGAACTCCAAACAGGATAGACTCCAAAAGAATATCACCAGGGCATATCCTAATCAAACATTCCAAAATCAAAGACAAGGAAAGAATCCTGAGGAACAGCTCAGGAAAAATGAAAAGTTACCTACAAAGGAGAACCAGTAAGATTAAGCTCGGATTTCTCATCAGAAACCATGCAGGCAAGAAGGTAGTGGGATGACATATACAAAACTCTGAAAGAAAAAAAATTGCCAACCAATAATCATGTACCCAGCAAAGCTGTCCCTCAAATAGGACAGCAAAATTAGGACATTTACTGATAAACAGAAATTAAGAGACTGTGTAATAACCAGACCAACTTGACACAAAAAATGCTAATGGGTATTCTTTGGGCTGAGAACCAACAACTGCAGACAACAGCCTGAGATTACCATACATGACAACATCATCAAGAGCTCAATCCAGATATAGAAGTATTTAAAGTAAAACAAACCTGTTGTTGTTTTGTTTGTTAAGTGCTGTAGAGTCGGCTCCGACTCATATCTAAGGAACCAGAGATATCACTGTATAATGAGGTCAACTACAAAGGAAAAAGAGGGAATACTGTCTATACAGAACTTCCAAACGACAAGGAAGTCAAGTAGACTTCAAGATAAAGCAGACTATTTTAAGCATGGAAAAAATTAATGAATTATAGGATAACCTCAAAGAAAATTAATGCACCTGCACATCAAAATAAAAAAGAAGACAATTAGAAATACTTAGAAACATTAACACAACAGAAATGAAAATGACAAGAAAACCCACAAACAAAATGAACTCAGCGGAGTCTTCAAATCAAGTATCAATGCTATCCACTCTGTGCATAAGGTAGATAGGGACGGGAAACTTAGACATTGGCTATCTAAAATGAGGGGACAATAAAGGCACGAAGTGACTGGCTTACAAGGTTTCAAGAGGGAGCTTAG